ATCCCCCATTAAGATAGAGAACATTTACACTTCCAATCGATTATTGCCTCAAAGAGGCTTGCGTGTCCGTTAGACACTGCGTTGGAACGAAATGACTTCCGTGCTCAGCGAACCCTGTGTCAATGACACCAAAGTCTTCAAGTCTCGCTGGTTCTGACAGCGCTCACGGGCAGAGCTCAGCTTCATCTCTTGCACACGGTGCCATGTCAGACCGTGTCTCCGCGGCATCGAGGGATGTATATCCTACGCTCGATGAGCCCGAGCGTCGCGCTCCGCGCACGATAACGATGACTGTGACCTCGCTGGGGATGTGGAGGTGATAGACTACGAGTCTGACACTCCTTTTCCTGCATGGAATGACGAGGAAGGCGAGCCGCACCAGCGGCGTGAGTCGAGCCCTGCTCGCAACTTGCGGACCCCATGTCCGTTTCCTGACTTTTCGTAGCCTGAGGTACATGGTGTAATCACTAATGACCTCGATGGGACACAGAAGCGGCAGATGGAAGCTGCCCGTAAGGCGGCTCTGATGCGCCTGGGTCGGTCTTTGATCCTCGTGTGGAATATGGCTTCGGCCCAGCGGATCCCGCTGTGGAAGCGAAAGACGTCGTAACTCGATCGTTACTCCTCCACATCATCGGGCCCCCGGCCAGAACGGAATATGAGCTTGCCGAACAGAAAGCTCTTCGAGCTCGTTTCTTGGTCCCACAATAATTTCCGTTGGAAGCTTATCGCACTCGTCTGAGTGCTCAATGAGGTGGCTCTCGTGTACCTGCAATGCGGACAATACCTGTAGTGCTCACCCCTGGCAAAAGCTCTACAGATGACGAAGTGCTCTTTCAGCGATGAGCGCAACGGCACCGCAAACTTTCCTCATAGTATGTCTTACAGTTCAGCCGCAAGGAAGTGGACGTGCGTGTGAACCGACACCTCCGATTTGAGTTTGCCCAACTCAAAGCACGCCGTCGACTCCCTTCGGACTGTCGCCCTGCGACGTATGGGTCAACCCCTAACGCTCCCGCAAGCTTTGTGTCTGTGACCGCAAGAGCTCATGGCCACCGCTTGAGCTCAGCTCATGTCCCTTCTACTTTCCTGGCTATTGCCGAGAAGCACGGATCGGCCTGATCAATCTGATCAAAAGCGTCCACGGCGTCTGGACAATCTTGCCGAAGTGGCGTCTCAAACTCCCACGAATTTTCGGATTCGGGATATCCCCATCACTTCACCAGATAGTATGTATGACCCTATTGACGACGTCGTCTCACTAGACGTTCCACGTGATAGTGGACATCACCGTTCTCCTCGAGAAGAGTCGGTGGCGGGCGGTGACGACCGGGTCGACCGCCGTCCGGTGACTCGCGGTGCTCTTCGAGTTCACCAGGACAAGGTCCGTCGCCATCGGAGCTCTGCTGAGCATCTTGCCCATGTCGCATACCGCTGTGTGGAAAGCCTCGAGAGCTTGAAGCACTTTGTACACCGAATGCATCACGTTGAGCACTATCGCGCTCTGTCGGAGCGGCTCCTGGCCGTCGAGCAGACGAATTCGTCACTCCGTGTGTCGGATGAGCGCCTGGCGCTGTTGAAAACGGAAATCGTTGCACTCCGTACTCAAAACTAGTCGCTGGCCCAGCCTCTTGGTGCAGCCCTGGCGCCAACGCTTCCGCGTTCAATTGCGCCGGATTCAGGTACGGCTTAAGCAAACCCATATAAAACACCGAGTGAGTGCGCATCATTCTCGGAAGTTTTGGCGTATACGCAAGGCCCAACTCGGCCACGACCATAAGAAATCCGATAAACCGTGGATGGAGCTTCGTCTTCAAGACAGCAAAAACTGCATGTGTAGGAAGTTTTTTTTGCGTTAAAATTCGACCTCAAAGTTTTCAACATTTCTTCTGCTTCTTCCGTCTGCATATTCTTTCGGCATGTCTTGGCTTTCAGTCATCGAATCGCGAACGTATCAAATTACACTCAGTCTGTTAGACAAGAAGTCATCGACTACTTCACAAACAGTGAGGGGCTGACATCAGCTAGTTGCTCGACTACCCCCCCCACCAAGACCTGAGCCATGATGTGGCGGTGTCAGCGAACGCGAGGATGAACAAATCCGTTCACGTAGAACGGCGTAAATTCGATGAAGCAAGCACTGCATTGCCCAGATCGAACTCCACAAGTGGTAGCATGGCGCTTCAGAGCTTCGGCGTCTCAGCGCAAACACTGCGAAGAATGTCTTCAGCAACGCGATTCAAATTTCCCAGTGAATCGTGGGTCTCTGTCAGAGATAATTGACTCCGGAAGTCCATGTTGTCGAAAGACACGATCCACAAACAGCGTCGCTGTACCCAGGGGTCCGACACCGCCGCAAGATGAACCATCTTGCTCAAACGGTCAACAACGACCACCACACCTGTGTTGCACGCCGAGTCCTACGGTAGGCCAAACACAAAGTTCATACTCATGGACTGCCAATACCCGCAGATGTACCGGTAA